AAGGAACCCTATTCTAGCTATTAAGGCCCCTATATTAGGGGGATTGGTTTTAGAGTTCCTGTGGGCTGGGCCCCAGCCTCCCTTCTCCTTACAGAGGCCTGCACCTGTTTCGAGTTTAGGGTTTAGGGTTTAGGGTTTAGGATTTAGGGTTTAGGGTTCAGGGTTTAGGGTTTAGGGTTTAGGTTTAGTGCCGCCCGTCTGGTGGAGTGGGGGAATTCCTTCTGCGATTTTTTAGTTGTGGACTTCCATGCGGCGTACCTGTCAAGGCGTACCCTAAACTAGGCGCCGAGAGTTTGAATCTAAGCACCCGAGCCACACCTAAGACCCAAGCAACGAAACCAAAAAACCAAGCCAAAAAAACACAAGAAATGCACGACACCATGCAAACACACCTCTCCCCGCCTCAAAAAAAGGCAGGGAGCAAACACATAATAGAATGCGCGAACGAAGCCAGACCCTGAACCACGAACAAAAATAGACTGAATCAGCAAAGAATACATCCGACCAAGAAAAGTCATCAACCCTGAACACCAAACCAGAACAACCTGAGCGGCAAAAATCTCAACCAAGCCCTTCAAGAGCCCAACCAAATGCTACCCCTTCGCACATGTCCCTAAACCCTAAACCCTCAACCCTAAACCCTAAACCTAAGCCCTTCAAAAACCCGATGACAGCCGTGTCGAACCCATGTAACAACATCATAGAAAACTATGGACGCCCTTGTAAGAAGCAAGAAACACTTTAGAACCTCTATAAGAAACGGTGTAGACCGCGTATACGATGTTAAAAGCCCTCATTCCTAAAGCTTCATAAGGAATCTCACAGAACCCTTTGTTAGATCTTGCTAAGCCCAGAAAAGATACATATCCTATAGTATCGAGCCCTTTCTAAGATCTGGTAAAAACCTAAACCCGAAACTAAAGCCCGAATAGGTATCCTACTTGGAGGTTTGTGCGTAGTTATAAGTCGAGTTTTTTGAGCTCCCGAATGTGGGTTATAACTATAGTTCCCCTACGTATGACCCCACGTATAACTACCCATGAACCCTAAACCCTAGTAAACCCTAAACCCTTCTAAACCCCAAACCCTTCTAAACCCTAGTAAACCCTAAACCCTCATAAACCCTGAACCCTAAACCCTCACAAACCCTAAACCCTAATAAACCCCTAAACCTCCAAGTAGTGCAACACCCTGCTGAGGCCCGCTACTACCTGGCCCGCCGGCCGAGGCCGTGAAGTTTTCAATAGGCAAGAAGAAGAAGGATATTACTTAGGGCTGAGGGTTACGAGGTTCAAAGGGTTTAGAACATGTAACTTTTTTACATTATAATGGTATCATATTATAGTTTGTATGTTGCAATCTGTATGTAAGATGTTACTAGAAATAGACACCCCGCATCCGCATGGCCAAAGTATCTGCAATCGGCATATTCTACTTGGAGGTTCATGGGTAGTTATAAGTGGGGTTATAAGTCCCCTAATATGGGTTATAACTATAGTTACTGTACTTATAACCCCACTTATAATAACTACCCATGAACCTCCAAGTAGGTAAGAGATGCAGCTGCGTCAGAAACCGTCTCTGAAGATCCGCCGGGTTGAGGTCCATGCCTGGAGCCCTTGTCGCGGGTTTCGCAGACCCTCCGACATCCCTTAATTTAAGGAATATACCCTAAATTATAGTAGGATCCCTGATATGACTCAATGGGGCATATTCCTTAATATCCTTATAGATCCCTTTAAGAATCCCTTTAAGGAGCCCTTAAATGAATGCTCCTTTTTAAGGGGGAGATTGGAAAGTTTGGGTTTCCACCCTAAACCCTAAACCCTAAACCCTAAACCCTAAACCCTAAACCCTAAACCCCTTTTGGGTTTCCAACCTGTGGTCTTCTGCTGTACATGGGCCCTTTTGGTAGGTAGTATTATTAGGGGG